AATAGCTAAGGTTTTTGAAACAAGCCATGCGCTTTGTAGTCAGATGACTTTTACGAGCACGAGTACGCGCCAGGCGATCTCCTGACTTCAGTGCAGGGTGAGAATGAAAACCCGTCCAGCATCCGAAAGGTCCATGAATAGATGACATGGTCAGTAAAACAAGTCATTTGGTGAGCATATTGAGTGATTTCCAGCAGAAAACACCAACCATTTGAATTTGTAGTATTCGCTATAAGAATCATTTATGCCCGCGGTAATCATCAATCAATCAGTTTCAACCAGACTGTGATGAATTAATAGCTGTATTCCCTTATGACATGTCAAAATTACAGAGTGGCGAAGTGGTAAGGTTTCATTCTGGGGATGGTTTGCCTTTATAAAGGAAAATGAAAATGTTCAAGCAATAAACGTAAAAGTAATTATAAAAATAAAAATGAGACGGTATGGAAACTTGAAATATTTCTTCGCGGAAGAAAAGCACTTCTCAAGTGAAACTCTCGCAGGTAACTTTTGGCGAAGTTTCGGTTAAAAATCGATGACACAGCTATCGATGGATCGAATTATACAACCACCTTTGTTGCATACCAATCAACTACAACTAATTTTCGACGGAAAGCCCTTCAAAATTTTCACAAAACAGATTAACGGCTGCAATTACACAAAAGCAACGCTACACCAGAAGCAATGGCCGACGAAACAACTCGAAAACAATGACTCGCAATTACTAGTACCCAGTCTACCTGTCGAACTATTTATACTCCTGGAGGTCTGCCTCTAGCTTAGTGGTCTTGCATAAGACCACAAAAAACAGATGTGATAAATTTGGTTTTGACGGATGTAACGAAATTACTAGGGAACTAGACGAAACGAAAGTTTGGGAACAAGTTAATATAGCAAAACATGTCAACTACACGGTATTTCACGCCACCAAAACAAGCGTGAAACTACTTGCCGTTTGCTCACAGGTTTGAACCACCTTCATAATTTTTACTTTTGACTCAGTCTTCCAAGAGGTTTAATTCAAGCATGTAAATTAGAACAAAGGAAGGATAGCGCTATCCCCCGCTATCACTGTCCAATGCAAGGCATACATGTAGTTTATTTCTCAACAGTTATTTTATCTGGTGGATAGCATTTTACAACCTCTGGACAACTGGCATCTGATAACACAAGGGGCCTTGGTATACATTAACGTCTTGTTGTCTAACTATTTCTCGCCGTCACGTTACTAAGCACATCGGAAAGGTTTGCGAAAAGGCCACTAAATGAGACCACTTATCTTTGGTTAATTACTGGAGAGTTTTATCTGACTGTAAACCAATAAGCAATGATCCGTGCCACTATTTTGCTCCTAATGAATGCTTCCATTACAGATTATAGTTCAATCAAAATACCAAATGAAAACTTTGAAGTACGTCAAAGTTTGATTCTTGTTTTGTTATGTATTTTTCTTCCGTACTCAATGGTACTCCAATTAATTTAAAAACATACTCGTTGTAGAACTATAATCTACATTTTCGAGCAAGAAAATAACCACCTGTTAAATGTTCGGGTGGCTTTGGTCTAACAGGAATAATGTTAAACGAATATGAGTGAATTCAAAGAATAATGTACATGGGTAAAGTCCAAAACCTGAACCGGCAAAAACTGGCAAATAGATCTTAAAATGACGTGATAATTTCCACTTGTTACTTCAGTTTTGCACTCTTCTTATTTTCCATTGAAAGAACCAAAGTTTGCGTTACATGTTTAAATAATATTATCCAAGAATGCCAGATTATTTAAATCTAGGCGGACTGTCTATTTTCTGTCTAAAAACCACTTCAAAGAATCAATCTAAGATAATAAAAGAGTGGTTAATCATTTTCATATTTCAAAAGTGACCGCGTGGGTGATTTCTCACTATGGGTGTTAAGTTCACACTCTTCTAAAGAACGTCAGGGCGTAAAATGAAAAATAGAAACATTTATGTGAAACTGCTAAGCTTTCAATACTTAAAATCGATATTGGATGAGAGAAAGACATTTAAAATGGTGCGGTTACACAATGGCCTAATTTTTTCGCTTGTTAGCTTTAAAAACTATGTTAAGTGGCAAACATCTTTCGATTTTCTTGTTTTCGTTTGAATCAAGGCGGACGGATATTGGCTGATGTAAGAGAAGTTTGTGTTGCTAAACAACACAGCACCTGTTAGGGTGGTGAACATAAAAAATTCACATGTTGTCACTGGACAGCCATAAACGGACGAATTGACTCAAGAAAGACAAATTTGAAAATGTTACGTGCCCATACAAGAATTCAACTTTTTGGCCTCCTGTGCAGGAAAACTCCATCCATTTATTACTGATTCGAACATAGCATTTTATTGCCCATCAATTAACGAATAATACGTCGATGCGAAACACTTAGTAAGAATGTCCAGTGAAGACAAGGAAGCCATAATTGATCATGAAAACACGGATGAAGATGAGCGGTGTTGCCCGAACGTTAATCGCAAACTCCTAATCCCAAAGGCCTTCTACTTCTTCTTCTTTTCCGCCTGGGGATCGTTGCTTCCGTATTTGGCTTTATATTTTAAACAGCTGATGCTTTCACCAAGCGAAGTAGGAATTCTCATGGGTTTAAAGCCGTTTGTGAACTTTCTTGTTATTCCGATATGGGGCGCCATAGTGGACAAGTGCCAGAAGAGCAAGGTAGTCATGGTTATTTCTATCATTGCCTTGATTACATCCACTTTCACCCTTAGCTTAGTCCCAGGACCCAAAGAAAACAAAGTAGTGGTCAAACGATTTTGTAATATGTCAACTCCAAAATACTCTAGCTTAATTGACATACACAGACCGGTGATTGACAGTCCGAACTATGAGTTTCCCGAACCAGGAATCGACAAGATGGTGGAGCTAGATAAGCATCAAGAATCTTACATGCCTTACTTTTACAAAGGCCCAAAGCCTTGGTCGCTAGAACTTTTCATTAATCTAGACGAAAAGACCACTGTCAGGATAGAGTTGGACACAACCCAGTGTTTTATGGCCTTATTTTTAATAACTTTCTTCGGTACTTTGATCTCCGCGCCGACGTTAGCTTTGGTGGACACAGCCACGCTACAACTTCTGGGTTCGGAGACCCACAAGTACGGCATGCAGAGACTCACGGGGTCGATCGGCTGGGGGGTCGGTGCTTTCGTTGTCGGTGCTTCCCTGAAAACAACTCATCAATGCGGCAAAGACAAAGACTACGAGATTGTCGACTACATTCCTTGCTTTTACACTTTCGCTGGATTAATGTTTCTGGGCTTGTTAACAGCCACGCAATTTAGATTTGAAGAGAAGACAAAGAAGTCACGTGGTGCAAGCCTCAGTGTAGGGCTGCAAGCCTTGAAAAGTCCAACATATCTCATGTTTCTATTCACCGCCTTGTACTTAGGATTTCTCATGGCATTCATAAAGACATTTCTGTTTTGGCATCTCAAAGACCTGGGCGGCAGCCAACTTCTTTTTAGTATCATTTCCGCCGTTAACTGTTTTGCCGAAGTCAGCATGTACTTTCTTTCGGCCAAGCTAATAAAACGAATCGGTCATGCAAGAGTGTTATATCTAGGGTTAATTTGTTATTCAATAAGACTGTTCTACTACTCAGCTATTCCCATTCCATGGATGGTTCTTGCCGTGGAGTTACTTCCTGGAATTACAACAGCGGCAGTATGGGCTGCTTGCCTATCTTACGTCAGCATAAACTCAGGCCCAGGCGCCGCAACAACAATGCAGTGCATTTTGCACGGAGTGCACTGGGGCCTCGGTTACGGTGCCGGCGAGGTGATCGGGGGCATTATGGTGCATCATTACGGTGCGCCAACAACATTTATTATTTTCGGTGTCTTGTGCCTAGTTATTTTAGGCGTGTACATTTTGATTAATTACTTCTGCAGGTCCAGAGACGGTAAAGAAGGTTGCAGCGCAGACTCTGAATACTCAGATATAAGTGACGATGAAGGAAAAAGATAATTTCTTAGGATAAATTAAAGGGAGCTGAAGGGAAAGCCTCTTCTGAAATGACAGCTTTAATTTTAACAATGCCTTCATTCCAAGACTAGAGTGAAAAATAGTCATTGGGCGTTTTCACAAACAGAGACACGATTGGTTCATTGTTTTAGCTACCTATAAGGAACTTTTCAAAACTTTGCTACCAAATATCATATGCATATTACCTGTTGTTAGAAGAAAACTGGATAAGCTTCTCTCCGATTTTCTGGGTTAATGAAGAAAAAAATATATACAATAGTTATTTCTTTTACAATGTAGCTGCCATTTCGAGAGGGGTTTTTCTTATGATAGCCGCTGGTGGCTGTTAGATTGCTTTTTCGTACTGGAAGAGTGTTTCCACTATGACTATAAACATTATATGTTTCCACACTGTGTCGATTGATGCTAGGCTTTTTGTAAAAACTTCTAATTTTTGTTCAAGAATCGTTCAGATGGCTTCACTTTGAAATAGAAAAATATCATAATACTGAACGATTCTGAGTATGAAGTTTGAACATGGTTGTGCGAGCTCCTTTTGTTCTATTAAATCTAACTTCTGCATTGTTATGCGAGCTTTGATGTGTTCATTGTCCTAGACTTTAAATAGCTTGTTATCATGACAAAAATCTAGTGCATGTAAGGATCAGTAACAAGACAATGGTTCTTCAGGACATTCCCGGTATTCTTGACGTATACAAAAAACATATAGCAGGAAAACAAAATCTCCCTGTTATAAAGACTGGCTTACATGAGCGACACAATGGCGAGCACTAACACAGAGTGGTCTTCATGTACGATATATACGCAGGTGCAGTGACTTTAATTTGGATCAACACTGTGATCGCGTCTATATCCTACGTGTGAACCACTACCCTTCACATGCCGCCGAAAAACATGACACGGGACTGCCTGCGCATGCCGTATCCTAATTTCCACGTAATGTGACAAAGTACTGCATGAGCGAAAAGAAGATATATTTCCTTTCCTTTACATTGCTGGAGTTTGGTGTATGGTATTAATGTAAGTGGAGTTACCCCTAGTGTACAACCAAGATCGAAGGGCGTCGGAAAAATTACTGGAGCCACTTTTATTTCAGACTCAAGTTATAAAAGCGAATTTATCCCAAGGAGGGTTATGTAATGTATTTCATGTAAATACGTAGAATATCAAAATTAGGACTTTAATAAATTAAAGCGAGGAAAGCGAATGTTTTATTCTCACACAGATCACTCGGTTAAAGCCGAAAACGACATAAATATGTTCACCGAAAATTTGTAACTCTACGCCGCTTTGAATGTTTGAATCATGTCTTTCTTTTTGGTCTGCTATGAATATTGGAAGGGGCTTTTTTGTAGCCATAAAAAAGAAATGATTCGGTAGAAAGGTCAAGTCAAAGTAAAATGTTGTTAGTACTGAAAGGGGGCGACAATTCTTTAATTGTAGCTCTCCTGGGAACATCTAGCCATTGCCAGGTGACCGTAAATCACTAATAGGAGCGCGCGTTAGATTCGACTAAGCTCCACTTACATAAGCAAAATTAGTCATCAAATGAAATTTTTATGGAACATAAGAGCGATTTTCGCTTGCCAGAGAAGATTTCGTATGAGATGTTTAAATAAAAAAAGATTACGATAATGGGAAATTAACCTTAAATCCTGTACGTAATATGGTACATATCGACACATTCCCGGTATGCTCTGAGATCACGGTACAATTTAAAATCTAGCAAAACTCTCCCTTAAACGCCTTTTTTCCTTTAACACACCTCAGGCAATTTGTAAGAGCAATTAAGCAGTTTTATCAACTTCTGTTGCGTAACTGAAGCTTATTATAAATCGTTTGCTGTGGTAAGGACACCGCCACACCTTCTTGACTCATGGTTCAGTTGTTAAAATCATAAAGCTAAAAATGAACAGAGCGATTTAATCCCTGCAATTTCAAATCCTGAAAACTGAAAGAATAGTTGACTGAAAGAAATATCAGGCTGATTAACCCAAAGATGTATACCGCAAAAAAAAGAGGTTCTGTCCTCTCGTTGCTTTTACTGGCACCCGCATTAACCAGCAAACCACCCGCAAGCAGTCATCATTTATCTGATACGCACTTGAACTTGCACGTAGGTTTGATAACTTATTCATCGCGTTTGACAATAAACAGTTCATAATCCTTGTTCACAGCTAGACTAAATTACTCCGTTCTACATATCACAGTAATCTCAAGGTTCGCATCCTAAAAGAAAAGTATGACTGAAAAGGCTCCCGAGGAAACCAAGGAAATCAACGATGACACTCAACCCGACCAACAGAGCAAAGAAGNTCAACCAGACTGTGATGAATTAATAGCTGTATTCCCTTATGACATGTCAAAATTACAGAGTGGCGAAGTGGTAAGGTTTCATTCTGGGGATGGTTTGCCTTTATAAAGGAAAATGAAAATGTTCAAGCAATAAACGTAAAAGTAATTATAAAAATAAAAATGAGACGGTATGGAAACTTGAAATATTTCTTCGCGGAAGAAAAGCACTTCTCAAGTGAAACTCTCGCAGGTAACTTTTGGCGAAGTTTCGGTTAAAAATCGATGACACAGCTATCGATGGATCGAATTATACAACCACCTTTGTTGCATACCAATCAACTACAACTAATTTTCGACGGAAAGCCCTTCAAAATTTTCACAAAACAGATTAACGGCTGCAATTACACAAAAGCAACGCTACACCAGAAGCAATGGCCGACGAAACAACTCGAAAACAATGACTCGCAATTACTAGTACCCAGTCTACCGGTCGAACTATTTATACTCCTGGAGGTCTGCCTCTAGCTTAGTGGTCTTGCATAAGACCACAAAAAACAGATGTGATAAATTTGGTTTTGACGGATGTAACGAAATTACTAGGGAACTAGACGAAACGAAAGTTTGGGAACAAGTTAATATAGCAAAACATGTCAACTACACGGTATTTCACGCCACCAAAACAAGCGTGAAACTACTTGCCGTTTGCTCACAGGTTTGAACCACCTTCATAATTTTTACTTTTGACTCAGTCTTCCAAGAGGTTTAATTCAAGCATGTAAATTAGAACAAAGGAAGGATAGCGCTATCCCCCGCTATCACTGTCCAATGCAAGGCATACATGTAGTTTATTTCTCAACAGTTATTTTATCTGGTGGATAGCATTTTACAACCTCTGGACAACTGGCATCTGATAACACAAGGGGCCTTGGTATACATTAACGTCTTGTTGTCTAACTATTTCTCGCCGTCACGTTACTAAGCACATCGGAAAGGTTTGCGAAAAGGCCACTAAATGAGACCACTTATCTTTGTTTAATTACTGGAGAGTTTTATCTGACTGTAAACCAATAAGCAATGATCCGTGCCACTATTTTGCTCCTAATGAATGCTTCCATTACAGATTATAGTTCAATCAAAATACCAAATGAAAACTTTGAAGTACGTCAAAGTTTGATTCTTGTTTTGTTATGTATTTTTCTTCCGTACTCAATGGTACTCCAATTAATTTAAAAACATACTCGTTGTAGAACTATAATCTACATTTTCGAGCAAGAAAATAACCACCTGTTAAATGTTCGGGTGGCTTTGGTCTAACAGGAATAATGTTAAACGAATATGAGTGAATTCAAAGAATAATGTACATGGGTAAAGTCCAAAACCTGAACCGGCAAAAACTGGCAAATAGATCTTAAAATGACGTGATAATTTCCACTTGTTACTTCAGTTTTGCACTCTTCTTATTTTCCATTGAAAGAACCAAAGTTTGCGTTACATGTTTAAATAATATTATCCAAGAATGCCAGATTATTTAAATCTAGGCGGACTGTCTATTTTCTGTCTAAAAACCACTTCAAAGAATCAATCTAAGATAATAAAAGAGTGGTTAATCATTTTCATATTTCAAAAGTGACCGCGTGGGTGATTTCTCACTATGGGTGTTAAGTTCACACTCTTCTAAAGAACGTCAGGGCGTAAAATGAAAAATAGAAACATTTATGTGAAACTGCTAAGCTTTCAATACTTAAAATCGATATTGGATGAGAGAAAGACATTTAAAATGGTGCGGTTACACAATGGCCTAATTTTTTCGCTTGTTAGCTTTAAAAACTATGTTAAGTGGCAAACATCTTTCGATTTTCTTGTTTTCGTTTGAATCAAGGCGGACGGATATTGGCTGATGTAAGAGAAGTTTGTGTTGCTAAACAACACAGCACCTGTTAGGGTGGTGAACATAAAAAATTCACATGTTGTCACTGGACAGCCATAAACGGACGAATTGACTCAAGAAAGACAAATTTGAAAATGTTACGTGCCCATACAAGAATTCAACTTTTTGGCCTCCTGTGCAGGAAAACTCCATCCATTTATTACTGATTCGAACATAGCATTTTATTGCCCATCAATTAACGAATAATACGTCGATGCGAAACACTTAGTAAGAATGTCCAGTGAAGACAAGGAAGCCATAATTGATCATGAAAACACGGATGAAGATGAGCGGTGTTGCCCGAACGTTAATCGCAAACTCCTAATCCCAAAGGCCTTCTACTTCTTCTTCTTTTCCGCCTGGGGATCGTTGCTTCCGTATTTGGCTTTATATTTTAAACAGCTGATGCTTTCACCAAGCGAAGTAGGAATTCTCATGGGTTTAAAGCCGTTTGTGAACTTTCTTGTTATTCCGATATGGGGCGCCATAGTGGACAAGTGCCAGAAGAGCAAGGTAGTCATGGTTATTTCTATCATTGCCTTGATTACATCCACTTTCACCCTTAGCTTAGTCCCAGGACCCAAAGAAAACAAAGTAGTGGTCAAACGATTTTGTAATATGTCAACTCCAAAATACTCTAGCTTAATTGACATACACAGACCGGTGATTGACAGTCCGAACTATGAGTTTCCCGAACCAGGAATCGACAAGATGGTGGAGCTAGATAAGCATCAAGAATCTTACATGCCTTACTTTTACAAAGGCCCAAAGCCTTGGTCGCTAGAACTTTTCATTAATCTAGACGAAAAGACCACTGTCAGGATAGAGTTGGACACAACCCAGTGTTTTATGGCCTTATTTTTAATAACTTTCTTCGGTACTTTGATCTCCGCGCCGACGTTAGCTTTGGTGGACACAGCCACGCTACAACTTCTGGGTTCGGAGACCCACAAGTACGGCATGCAGAGACTCACGGGGTCGATCGGCTGGGGGGTCGGTGCTTTCGTTGTCGGTGCTTCCCTGAAAACAACTCATCAATGCGGCAAAGACAAAGACTACGAGATTGTCGACTACATTCCTTGCTTTTACACTTTCGCTGGATTAATGTTTCTGGGCTTGTTAACAGCCACGCAATTTAGATTTGAAGAGAAGACAAAGAAGTCACGTGGTGCAAGCCTCAGTGTAGGGCTGCAAGCCTTGAAAAGTCCAACATATCTCATGTTTCTATTCACCGCCTTGTACTTAGGATTTCTCATGGCATTCATAAAGACATTTCTGTTTTGGCATCTCAAAGACCTGGGCGGCAGCCAACTTCTTTTTAGTATCATTTCCGCCGTTAACTGTTTTGCCGAAGTCAGCATGTACTTTCTTTCGGCCAAGCTAATAAAACGAATCGGTCATGCAAGAGTGTTATATCTAGGGTTAATTTGTTATTCAATAAGACTGTTCTACTACTCAGCTATTCCCATTCCATGGATGGTTCTTGCCGTGGAGTTACTTCCTGGAATTACAACAGCGGCAGTATGGGCTGCTTGCCTATCTTACGTCAGCATAAACTCAGGCCCAGGCGCCGCAACAACAATGCAGTGCATTTTGCACGGAGTGCACTGGGGCCTCGGTTACGGTGCCGGCGAGGTGATCGGGGGCATTATGGTGCATCATTACGGTGCGCCAACAACATTTATTATTTTCGGTGTCTTGTGCCTAGTTATTTTAGGCGTGTACATTTTGATTAATTACTTCTGCAGGTCCAGAGACGGTAAAGAAGGTTGCAGCGCAGACTCTGAATACTCAGATATAAGTGACGATGAAGGAAAAAGATAATTTCTTAGGATAAATTAAAGGGAGCTGAAGGGAAAGCCTCTTCTGAAATGACAGCTTTAATTTTAACAATGCCTTCATTCCAAGACTAGAGTGAAAAATAGTCATTGGGCGTTTTCACAAACAGAGACACGATTGGTTCATTGTTTTAGCTACCTATAAGGAACTTTTCAAAACTTTGCTACCAAATATCATATGCATATTACCTGTTGTTAGAAGAAAACTGGATAAGCTTCTCTCCGATTTTCTGGGTTAATGAAGAAAAAAATATATACAATAGTTATTTCTTTTACAATGTAGCTGCCATTTCGAGAGGGGTTTTTCTTATGATAGCCGCTGGTGGCTGTTAGATTGCTTTTTCGTACTGGAAGAGTGTTTCCACTATGACTATAAACATTATATGTTTCCACACTGTGTCGATTGATGCTAGGCTTTTTGTAAAAACTTCTAATTTTTGTTCAAGAATCGTTCAGATGGCTTCACTTTGAAATAGAAAAATATCATAATACTGAACGATTCTGAGTATGAAGTTTGAACATGGTTGTGCGAGCTCCTTTTGTTCTATTAAATCTAACTTCTGCATTGTTATGCGAGCTTTGATGTGTTCATTGTCCTAGACTTTAAATAGCTTGTTATCATGACAAAAATCTAGTGCATGTAAGGATCAGTAACAAGACAATGGTTCTTCAGGACATTCCCGGTATTCTTGACGTATACAAAAAACATATAGCAGGAAAACAAAATCTCCCTGTTATAAAGACTGGCTTACATGAGCGACACAATGGCGAGCACTAACACAGAGTGGTCTTCATGTACGATATATACGCAGGTGCAGTGACTTTAATTTGGATCAACACTGTGATCGCGTCTATATCCTACGTGTGAACCACTACCCTTCACATGCCGCCGAAAAACATGACACGGGACTGCCTGCGCATGCCGTATCCTAATTTCCACGTAATGTGACAAAGTACTGCATGAGCGAAAAGAAGATATATTTCCTTTCCTTTACATTGCTGGAGTTTGGTGTATGGTATTAATGTAAGTGGAGTTACCCCTAGTGTACAACCAAGATCGAAGGGCGTCGGAAAAATTACTGGAGCCACTTTTATTTCAGACTCAAGTTATAAAAGCGAATTTATCCCAAGGAGGGTTATGTAATGTATTTCATGTAAATACGTAGAATATCAAAATTAGGACTTTAATAAATTAAAGCGAGGAAAGCGAATGTTTTATTCTCACACAGATCACTCGGTTAAAGCCGAAAACGACATAAATATGTTCACCGAAAATTTGTAACTCTACGCCGCTTTGAATGTTTGAATCATGTCTTTCTTTTTGGTCTGCTATGAATATTGGAAGGGGCTTTTTTGTAGCCATAAAAAAGAAATGATTCGGTAGAAAGGTCAAGTCAAAGTAAAATGTTGTTAGTACTGAAAGGGGGCGACAATTCTTTAATTGTAGCTCTCCTGGGAACATCTAGCCATTGCCAGGTGACCGTAAATCACTAATAGGAGCGCGCGTTAGATTCGACTAAGCTCCACTTACATAAGCAAAATTAGTCATCAAATGAAATTTTTATGGAACATAAGAGCGATTTTCGCTTGCCAGAGAAGATTTCGTATGAGATGTTTAAATAAAAAAAGATTACGATAATGGGAAATTAACCTTAAATCCTGTACGTAATATGGTACATATCGACACATTCCCGGTATGCTCTGAGATCACGGTACAATTTAAAATCTAGCAAAACTCTCCCTTAAACGCCTTTTTTCCTTTAACACACCTCAGGCAATTTGTAAGAGCAATTAAGCAGTTTTATCAACTTCTGTTGCGTAACTGAAGCTTATTATAAATCGTTTGCTGTGGTAAGGACACCGCCACACCTTCTTGACTCATGGTTCAGTTGTTAAAATCATAAAGCTAAAAATGAACAGAGCGATTTAATCCCTGCAATTTCAAATCCTGAAAACTGAAAGAATAGTTGACTGAAAGAAATATCAGGCTGATTAACCTAAAGATGTATACCGCAAAAAAAAGAGGTTCTGTCCTCTCGTTGCTTTTACTGGCACCCGCATTAACCAGCAAACCACCCGCAAGCAGTCATCATTTATCTGATACGCACTTGAACTTGCACGTAGGTTTGATAACTTATTCATCGCGTTTGACAATAAACAGTTCATAATCCTTGTTCACAGCTAGACTAAATTACTCCGTTCTACATATCACAGTAATCTCAAGGTTCGCATCCTAAAAGAAAAGTATGACTGAAAAGGCTCCCGAGGAAACCAAGGAAATCAACGATGACACTCAACCCGACCAACAGAGCAAAGAAGGTTGTTGTGCTATCAACAAGGTTTATTTGGTATCCAAAGGGTTCTACTTTTTCTTCTTCTCTGCCCAAGGGTCGCTGTTGCCATATCTGGCTCTCTTCTTTAAACAACTCGAGTTGCCCGCTAGTCAAATCGGTGCCATTACGGGAATGAAGCCTTACATCGCTTTCTTCTTCATTCCATTTTGGGGGTGCGTTGCTGATCGATTCAAGAAAGGAAAGCTGTTGTTTGTTGTAGCTATGATTGCTGTTATTTTAGGGATGGTCGCCTATGCTCTCGTTCCAATCAATATTTGCGAGACTGAATCGACTGCAAGTGTCAGTCGCCGAGCCATACCAAGGGGATTTGATGGTAGCTCATATTCCAAACACGTCAGAAGCGCCATACAACATGCGTCATTTCCGTTCCATCGAGCCGACGAAAGACCAACACGGAACATGAAAACAACGCCAGAAGACGACGCTCAATTACATAAAAAGTCAAAACTGAAAAGAGGAAAACTAATAAATGAGTGGAGACACTCCCATATATCTAAATTGATTAGAAAAGTTTCCTCGATGGAAGAAACAATGAAGTTGGATGGTTTCAACAAGAATTTGAAACTGGTAAGATTTAACGTGAAAACCGGCCGAAGAGCTCGACAAGGCTCAAACAACACGACGTCCTTGGACGGCGTTTCGGAAATGGCAGATGAATCTCTCGAAGAAACTCCATGGTCTCAATCAGATATGATCGCCCTACAGGGTCAGAAATCTAAAAAGACCCCTTCAAGAAAAAACACTTTTATCTTTCTTTACTTGCTTCTTGCAACAATCTTCACAACCATACTGTCGTGTCCAAGTCTTACACTCGCAGACACTGCTACTGTAAACCTGCTGAAGCAGAATGATGAGACGCATAAGTATGGTAAGCAGCGAATGTGGGGATCTGTTGGCTACGGATCTATGGCGTTTCTTGTCGGCTCTGCCGTCAGCCGCACCCACCTTTGTCCTCCCGGAAGCGCCAGGCGGAAGGACGTGAACTACTATCCATGCTTCGCAATGTATGTGGTTTATAACATCATTGCTTTAGTTATAGGATCCAGATTTGAGTTTAACAATAATGGTAAAACGGACACGCAAGAAACCAACGATGACGGTCATCAAAGTAAAGAAGAAGCTGAAAGCAGAACCAAAGGTATAATCGCTGGACTAATCCTCCTCACACGACCAAGACATGCCATGTTTTTAGTAACCGCGTTCTATGTCGGCATCACAATGGGTTTTATCCGGGTGTTTCTCTTTTGGCACTTGAAAGACTTAGGTGGCACTCAGATTCTTTTCAGCATCATGACAGCAATTAACTGTGTTGCTGAAGTGACGCTGTATTTCCTTTCTACCAAATTGATTTCCTATCTCGGCACCATAAGAGTGCTCTACCTTGGCTTGACATGTTACTCCATACGATTATTCTACTATGCATCTGTCTCCAACCCTTGGACTGTTCTCCCTGTGGAACTGTTGTCTGGTATCACTACAGCTGCTGTTTGGGCCGCCATGATGTCTTACGTGGGAACTCATTCTGTTAAGGGTGCTTCTGTAACACTGCAAGGTGAGTATTGTTCAATGTTCTCATAAGATTGCTATTTCCTGAACAATACAAATTAAGTGCAAAGCCTGTTGAGTATGACCAATAGTTATTTTTTCATTCTTCATTATCATTCGCACTTCTCAAGGGTGTGGGTACTTCTGGGTTTTCTTAGACTTTATTTACATACTCCTTCACATCTCTTAAGAACCATTTTTGTACGCTTCCTTTCATTTAAAAGACAAGCCTAGAGAGTTGTGGCTCGAACCCGTGAAGACTGGAATTTGACGCTAAAAACCGGTTGCTCCCCTTTTCTTTGGCAACGAATAAAACGATGGTTTTAATAGCTGAGGACAATAACAACTTTTAATTTACTTATGGATCTTCCCTAGGTATTTTACATGGCGTCCACTGGGGTCTTGGTCACGGATCAGGGGAGCTCATTGGTGGTTTTCTGATAAGTACCTTTGGTGCTCCCACCACATTTTCCATATTTGGAGCAATTTGCCTCGTGCTGATGGGCACTTATATTCTAGTAAACATCCTAACAAATGGCTCTGATGAAAAAGAAGGTTCAGCAGAGTAAAATGGATAACATTGGAACTAAGGGGACATGAATGAATAGGGTTCAAATGATAATGACTAATAACAAGCATGTGTTTTATAACCCAAAATAAAACAAGCGCAAATAAGCAGAGACATCGTTTAAAAAATAGCGGCCACAAATAACAATTGAGTAGAATATTTCAGTTATTACAGAAACTGATTGCAATACTTTGAGTTTGTGATCACTGTAATTTGTGTTTCTCATCCCACGCTGATTCTGACTGTTAAATCAAACAATTTCAAGACCGGCTACGTTAAAGACTTTTCGATAAGCGAAACTGAAAAACGTTTCCTCTCTCGAGGTACTCTAGTGATTCACTGATAAGACTTGGGAATTGCTTAACAAGTGAAAACCAAAGGGATCATGGGCTCAGCTCAACAATTAATGATTGCCTTCACGAAAGCCTTGCTAGGTCACTTTAGCTGAAAAGAAGACGGCTGAGCTATTGGAATGAAGGAAGGGAAAATCTCCAGAAGAGTATTTACAAATGGTGACTCTGTACAGCGTCTGTGGTATTCTGTTGATTACAAACGATATAAATAGAAACTAAACGTCAAACAAGTTGGCCAGTTGTCAGGTTAAGTCTTTCAAGAAGGTTACATTTCACCGGTGATTTACTGTTTAATGGCAAAGTTTTGATAACTCTTGCTAAAAGAAAAAGTAAAGCTTCTTTGCTCTGCAGAAGCAGCTTACCTCCATTCTAAAATCCATGGCATTAAAAATCAGGATCACATTTATTTCACACACAACAGCAGTCACTGAACTGATGCAAGCAATAAAAGCAAAAGATATGCAGCTGAACAAAGGTTCTTGGGAAAAAAGGAAGTACGCTTACTGGTATGCACTTTAGTTAACCAGTCAATCTCAATATTACACAGAACATGGCCACTGCAAAACACTTGCAGAACTGCCAGTGGACAGTAAATGTTGATTCATCCTTTTCTATGTCAACTCACTTTTACTTTTTAAGTTGTAATAACTTGTTATCAAAAGTAATAAGATGGCATGTTTAAAGGTTTCTTTCAAAAACTGCCTGCTGATTTTGTATAACACACTGCAAATGGTCGGTGTGAATAATTTGAAAGTATACATAAATGAAAAAGAAATCAAATTGTTTTGTTAGGTTAATACATATATGCTAGTCATGGAATGTTCTTGAGTTGTATACCGTGAAATATTTCATGCATAGCATGACGTTTTCGCATACACATGAGCCTTCAAGCAAGTATCTGCACAACTGATAAGAAATCAAATCATAGGTGGGATATTCATAGTGTTCCACAACAAAGCATTGCATTATAACCACATGTATCTATAACAGTGAAAGCTTTATGTCTTTATGAAGCAGACCAGCAACTCACAAGTTCAACAATGTGAATTACTGAATGTTAAGCTACCAACATTAAGGTATCCTGTCATTTGCTGAGACTCGTTTCTATGGTTTTTTGCCTTTTACAATCTACTGGTGTTCTTGAGCCTGATATCCAGCGGTGTTAGAACAGGCAACTCTACAACAAGTTCTGATTGGAAGTCCAAAAATACTAGACTGCTGGAATTGCGGGCGCCTAGGTAGGGTAGGTAAGTGACAAACAAGAAGCTCAATCAAGTTCCTGATGTTTTACTTCCAGCCACTATCACTGCATCTTCAAACGAGGTTTTTCAAGAGTCCCTCCTAATGTCAAATTTACGCAGTAAGGAAGACTCGAAGAACGAGATTGTGCTGTTCTCTTCAAGGTTCACAAGGAAATAATGAGGAAAACGTATACACCGTGGCGGCCGATACTTTTTCAAAAAGACCGTAAATTTATAAAGCTGAAAGGCCCATAACTTTATACAAATTTAACTGAGTTACGGGGGAGAGACAGTTGTCTAGTCATCTTACCAATGCACCATTAAAACAACAATATATATAGTGTAGCGGCTAACAGCTTCAATTGTTCATTTAGTGATACAAGCATGAAATTTGGCAGGAACTTTCTCAATTGTCTATTCTTTCACTCTAGTCGATTAGCCACCTGAAATTCGCATTAACAAGAGTTTTTTTCAAAATGGCTAAAAATGGGAACGATGTGATAAAACGGCGGCCATTTTAAGTAATATCCTTACTTCCAACTCATCTTGAAGCAAACTTTGAGCAGTTTATTACTCCATGATTACAACGTTTC